ACAGTTCTGAGGTAATTGGTAGAAAAAAGAGTAAATTTAAAAAAGTGAAGTGGAATGCACTCTTAAAACAAAAACTTCATTCAGCCCGTGCAAAAATAAATGGGAAAACAGCTCATGGAAAAAACATCATCATCATTAGCTCAACACACATTTTTTGGCTGCTCTGTTCCTGATGTTTGGGTGCACAGTGCATCTCTCAGGCAAACTCCTTTGGGTTCCTAAATCCAAGTTCATCATGTAAAGCCAAAGTGAATTTGGTGCTAATTAATATTGTTACTGCCCAAGGATTCTTTTATATGTAAAGCTCTGAAAATATTGCAGGTTTGGGACTGAACCATTTATTCACATTTCAAATAAAACCATAAGTAAGAAAAGAGCCAGAAGGGGAAGCCTCACATTTCTAAAGTGGAATATCGAGAGGTGTGTGCAATCCATGGTGCCTGGAGTACCCAAAAATCTCAAAGGACATGCAAAAGACATGCAAGGCTTGGCAATGTCACCGGCTGGAAGCTACAAGACCTGTCCCTACAGCTCCTGAGGTTGAATTGATGTGGTTTGCAAAGTGAGATCATTCTGAGATAGCAGCTCCTGATCCCAGGGAGTGAATACACCCCAATCCCAGCCAGCAACTGCTCTCAACATGGTCATCTGCTGAATCCATGAAAGAGGCTAAAAATTAAGTTTGTCATTATTTATTCCATCCCTACAAAGCTCAAAAAGCAGCCCTAAAGGCAGCTGCCATAGATCACTTAATAGCTGCACTGCTGTCTCTGGGAGGGCTTGACAACTCAGTTCCAACCCAGCAAGAGATGGTTTTTTATAACTCACCCCTCCATTGGTGAAATAAAAATATCAGAATATTTCTCAATGGAGTTCTGTCCATTCATGCTCCTGAGGCAAACAGTGCAGACAGGTGAAAGTGTTTGAAATGGATCCCTCAGAGCAACCCCACAGCTCCCAGTGCACAGCCTGGAGTTCTTTGGAAGTTTTAGAGGAGCCTGTGGAATTAGCATGAGTGAAAAATAGTCCCTTATGCTATAAACTTGAAATAGCCATTGGGGCAGTATTTGGAAGCTGACTGGGCAGGAACCCTCCTTCCCATTCACAAGATACCAGCCTGAAAGAAGCACATAACTATGGGGTCACTGCCCCTCATTTCTCTTCAGCTGCAAACAAACTGCACTCAGGGTGGCTCTTCCTGAGCCTGGCTCTGCAGCTGGACCCACAGCCAGATCAGAACCACCAGCACAGAATCAGGGAATGCTTTGGGTGGGAAAGGACCTCAAAGCTCATCTCACTCCAGTCTGTCATGGTTGCTCCAAGCCCTGAGGCCACAACCAGATCAGAATCATCATCACAAAATCAGGGAATGGTTTAGGTGGAAAAGGATCTTAAAGCTCATCTCACTCCAGCCCCTGCCATGGCTGCTCCCAGCCCTGTCCAGCCTGGCCTTGGGCACTGCCAGGGATCCAGGGGCAGCCCCAGCTGCTCTGGGCACCTGTGCCAGGGCCTGCCCACCCTCATGGGGAAGAATTCCTTCCTAAAATCTGATCTAAACCTGCAGCTCATCACCCTGGCTGCACTGAAGAGCTCTTGTCACAGCAGAGCAGCTGCTGAGCACCCAAAGCATTCTCTTATTTCCCTGGTTTTACAGCGTGATCTCAATGAGGAGATGAAAGAGCTCCAGGAAACAGAGACAGATTCATGAATAACCTCCTCAGCTCTGAAGTTCTGTCCTTAGAGTTACTGGCAGTGGAGTTCTTGAGAGGGAAAGTCCATGCAGAGATTCATATTAACATGCCCAGCATCCACGTAGATCACAGAATTCAAGCTCAGATTTGTGTTCCCATCTGTTATCCACTCCAGCAGAGAATCACAGAACCACTGAGCTTGGAAAAGACCTCCAAGGTGATCAAATCCAACCTGTGACCAATCCCCACCTTGTCCCCAGCCCAGAGCACCTCAGGAATTGCTGGGACACCTCCAGGGATGGGCACTGCAACCCTCCCTGGGCAGTTCCCATCCCTGACCCCCCTTTCCATGGGCAAATTCCTGCTGCTGTCCGAGCTGAGCCTGCCCTGGCCCAGCCTGAGGCCGTTCCCTCTGCTCCTGTCCCTGTCCCTGGTCCCTGTCCCCTCCTGGCAGGAGCTGTGCAGAGCCAGCAGGGATTGCTGGCATGTCCTGGGCAGCACCAGGAGCTGCACTCAGGATATTCCATGATTCCATCCTCACACAGTCCAAGGCAATGTAGAGAGGGCAGCATTTTCCCTCCTGTTCATAAAACGTTCATTTTGTACCATCAGGTAGAAACCATCAATCTAATAATTACTGACCTACTTAAAGCCAGCCACAGCCACCTTTTCCTTCAAGTAAGACAATAAAAAGCACAAAAAAAAAATACATGGGCAGCTGTTTTAAGCCTCCTCACAGTCAGCAACTGCAGGCAGTAAAAGGAAACAGCAAAAAGCAATTTGTATCACTGACCACCTTCAGCTGTGTTCACCTACCCCAGAGCTACCTGAGGAATCATGAAATAGTTACAGTAAATTTGTATCAACTGTTCAACACAATTTGATTTTGAGATATTTCACTAAGAAAGAGGAGATGGAAGAGAAAGAGGAGATGGAAGAAGGAATGCAAGGTGCAATCCTCTGGAAAAAGTTATTGCTCATATCAGGTTGGGGCATATTTTAATAGGCAGAAGCAGCACATTGCCATTGGCTTCTGCAAGGAGAACAAAGAGCACTGCTCAGACTTCTGTTGCATCTCCCTGACTAAACAAGTTAACCATGAATCAGAAATTGTAGCAGCAGGGCAGGTACAGTTACACAAGAGTTACACCCAATTCCCCTCTCCCCGGGGGGAAGCTGAGGATAACTCAGCTCACAAACACTCCCTGTTTGCAACCCCCTCACATCCACACCATCCCAGCTCCCTGCAGCTTTTCAGGACCTCAAACAGGGAAGTGTGGCTCTCCAGCTCTTTAGGGATGAGCTCAGAGAGGAGCAGAATCCCCCATTTAACACTCCAGCATCAGCTCAGCATGGCTAACCCCGGAGCAAAGCAACAGGAGCCAGGAGAAAGTGCTGGCACCAGGGAGGGAATTCTGCAATTCCAAGCAGGAGGAGCAGCCCAGGGCACTCAGTTTCTCTCCACAGCCACACTGTTTTTATCTAGGTGATGTTACAGCACAAGGATTGTCACAACATCACTTGGTAACACCTCAGGGACTCGGTGCTGGAATTTATTTGTGTGTAGTTAAACAGAACAGGGTTGAATGGGGAGAGAGATTGTTTTTTCCACTTGCTTCATCCAACTCCCGGTTTAAGCCAACTGCTCACTCTAAAAGTAACAGAATTACCCAGTTAAGAACAACAAAAAAAATAATCCTTAGGAAATGTGCATCACTTCAAACAAAATGCACATTCAGAGACTGTGAAGGCAAAGTCACCTTTGTGTTCCCTCTCACTACTCTGTACTTAGCAACCAAGATTCTTCAACACAGAATCTATAAAAATGTGCTTTTCAAAGAGACAACCCTTCAGTGAGCTCAGAAGAAAAGAAAAAAAATCCAACGATCCTGGCTGCCTCATTGCTGGCAGGAAAAATGGCAGGATGGATTCTCCGTCCATCTTAGATTGACAGAAATAGTGCTGGAGTTCCTCAGCTCCATAAATCCTGCAGCTCAGAAAGAAGACTCTCAAAAACCTTCCTGCCTGCCTGATTTTATCTCTATTTTTTGCTTGGATATGATTTACAGTGTTTCCTTTCCAAGCCAGGGTCGCTGCATCATTTGAATAAGAGAAGCTGCAAGTAGTGAAGTATCAGAAAAGAAGCTTTTTTTTTTTCTGGTTTGAATTATATCCTTCTACATCCTGGGTGAAATATCCTTTCCAGTTATATTTTATCCACATGGAGTCTCAGCTGAATGAAAGGCTCTCCCATGCCTTGTTCCTTCCCCCTTACTACAGGAGATTAGGAACAAGATAGAAAAGGAAGGATAAGAAAAATATGAAGCTGAACACATCTCAATTTTACAAAGCAGAGGTGTTTAAAGAAACACGAAATGGGAAGGGAATTTGTATTCAGAGCAAGACTCTGCACAGATTTCTGTCTCAGTCTGGAATTCAACACTCAACTCAGTGAAATCTCCACTGAGCCCTGAGAAGCAGCTTTATTTGGGGTATTACTCCAATCCAGGGGTTTGCACAGCTTTCAGGTATTCCTCACCTTTCCCAAGAGCAGGGTAACCCCTCTGGTTACAGCTGCAGCCTGTTCACTTCTCACAAGCACCCTCCAAGCTGGGGCTCAGGCTGAACTTTCAAGGGGGTTAAAATCAGGCACAGACACTCTGACTCCCTCATTTGTGGCGGGCTGAGAGCAATGAAGCATTCACATATCTAATGACTTCCAGCACATCCTAAAACGTCCCTGTCCGGCCTAAGTGAATGAAAGAACAGCAAGTTCATGACGGTGAACCCCGACACCAGCATCAATACCCGAGGGATGCAGTGACACAAAACCACGACGTTTCTTTGAGCTTAACACCAGCAACTCCAAACGTTTGCCATCACATTCTTCTAAATAAAACCCAGCCTCACCAAGCTGCTTTGGACACTGGACAGCTACTCCTCCTTTCCAACTTTTTCCAGGGGGAACTTTCAAACAGATGCTTTTATCTGGAGATGCTTTTATTCCCCTTCATACATCACCGGTTTTCCACGCAGCTGGCAGGACTGTTCCACCAGCAGATGCTCTGAGAGGCAATCAGGGAGGGTTTATATTGCTGCTGGTGATCTGCTCGTCAACCCCTTCTCATTTAAATGTCACAAGCTCGTAAAAACTCCATCCATCCTCTCCTTGTGCCCTCAGCTGACCATCCCCACCATCAACCAATGCCTCTGTAGCTGCCATTTAGCCCTGTGCTAAAGCACGGCTTAAAATGAGAGCCGGAGGCACAGCCCGGTGCCATTCCAGCGCGCAAAAAGCACGATACCCACCTTATGGCAGCCAGGATAGGTTGCCATGGTGTTGAGGGTAGAGGTGCTGGGATTCTTGCTGGTGCTGGCCATGAGACTCTGGATCTGGGTGAGCTCCTGCCTCAGCACCTGCTTCTGGTGGAAGCTGAACGCCGGGTGGTTGGATGCCATGGTGAAGAGCAACAGGAACTCATCCCCCGTGCGGCCCTCGTTGAGCTGCAGCCCGTAGTTGTTGATGACCGAGTCGATGTGGGTGAGGGTGCGGAACAGGACCCCGGCGGCCTCGCGGTGGGCAGAGCCCAGCAGGGCGAGGGACACCAGCAGTTTGCTGCGCACCACCTCGTCCGTCAGGTTGGTGAGGCTGCCCAGGTCGGCGGGGTTGTTGGCCTTGATCTCGGAGTCGCGCAGGGAGTGATAATCCTTGCGGGCCAGGTCCTCCAGGCAGGCGCCCAGGAAGCGCAGCTCCAGCGGGATGCACAGGTCC